TATGAGTCATATTGAAAGTACATGTTAAGGGCTTGGAGAAATGGCTCAATAATTAGGAGCACTTGCTACTCTTGCAGAGAGAACCAAGGTTTGGTTCCCAGCACCCACATGGCAGCTAACAACTATCTGTAACACCAGTTTTAGGGGACCCATTGCCCCTTTCTGGCCTCTACAGGAATTCCACACATGTGGTTCACTTACCTGTAGGCAAAACACTCATACATATAAAACAAAAGTAAATAAATTTAGAAAATATATTTGAATAGAATATATTTTAGTATTCTATTTCTATTTTTGAGTGAGTCAGTGGGAGATATCCTAAAGTTACAAATTTCTGATAGGAAGTTCCTTCAGGAAAATGATAACAGTAGGTTAAATCATTACTTAACAGCATAACTATTTAAAGAGTTGATGTCCGCATTTTTCAAGATTTAAATCTCACAAAGTCTTTTACTCTTTCATGAAGCGAAAAGCATGATGGTTATTACAGTAATCATTTCTTTTGACACCTAAAGGAGGAAGGACAGTAATGTACACACCTTCCTTTCCTCTCACGTCATTGCATTCTCAGTGGGCATGGGGTTGGTCCTCCGTGGCTTTTGGTAATGTGATCCAACAATATTACAGTCTTACTTTAAAAAACTTTGCTAAAAATTAAACACTGAAAGGCTCCAGATCTGTTCCTGAAGGAAAGCTCTGAATCTGTAAGAATCCCTTCCTTCTGGTTTGCACAAGAACACCTTCTTCAAATGGGCAGAACCCACAGAGTCAGAAACAGGTTTTCCTCTGGGCCCAGTTTGTCAATTTTGATGCTGACCAGTGAGAATCCTCAGAACATTATTCAGGCAGTATATGGAAGGGAGGAAGGAAGATGCGTAATCTGATTAAGAGTCAAGACATCATCTTTAACTGGATATTCTGTTCATTTCACAAATGTGCTCCTTTCTAGGAGCATGCCAATTATTGGCTAATCAACATTCTCATTACCACCCTCCAAATCTTTACAGTGTTCTGTGTTATTTCTAACATTGGATGTACAACAGGAAACCTATTATTCTGCCGAATATTCTGAAATTTGAGACATGGAAATGACATGGAAAGTAACTAAGACATGGATCAGGACAAAGTATCAGGAAGACAGTTCTCATATACTCTGTAGTGCACATTATTTTTAATTTTTCAAATGAGGTTCCTGTTTTGAATACTAAGCTAAATATGGTTGCTACTTTTTAATCACACATTAGTCTGTCTTATAGTTATTAGTCACAAATTAATCTGTTACATTAATTTATCAGTATGTCTTTTCTGCCATGAATGTCAGATAGGCTTATATTGACTCTGAAAATTATTCTTCTCATTTTATAGATGGTGATATAAAGCCAGAAAATGGTTTGGTAACTGACTCAGTTTCTCAGAAATCTATCTTCTGTCAACTTCAAATTACAAATCATAGTGTGTGCTGGGGCATATGTTGGGTTTCCTTTTGATTAATGGGGAGGAGTCTTCTCTTTGTGACCTCTTGAGGAGGCTTGCAGCTCTACAGTACTAAGATCTTAATTCTGATGAATAACCTTCATCGTTACTAGAACCAATCTATTCCCCTACTCTTTGGTGCAAAATGTAAGACAAAACATTTACTGATACAAAACGATATTTTTTTCCTTAACACTAATTTTTAGGGAGAGAAATTCGGTTTGCTAAGCATCATCACAGTAATTCTGACTTACTTCTGGTATGTGTTGGTAGGAAGACCTCTCTCATTTACACAGTTGTTGGGAAATCCTACAGAGATTTTGACTTGCGGGAAGGACACAGTGTGAAAACTGGTTTCAGCTCGATGAATGACATGCTTGTACTGGACAAAGTGGCAGAGATTCTTCTAAATATTCAGTATGGACATCATCTGACTGCACTCGCCAAATAAGTTACTGATAGTCAGCCTTTTACCAAGGCTAATTAATTCAGTTGCATATTTCCCAGTAGATCCCAGAGACTAAGGCGTGAATTTAAAATTTTTTAATTAACAAAGTGATTTTGTGTAGTCTTCTTTGTTAAATTAATTATTACTTTAATTCTTGTTACATAGGAAGAACAGTAATCTTGTCAGAGTATGACTAGGCAAGGTGAGCAAATACTTTACTTCTTTAATATTGCTATGGAACTATAAAGGGAAGAAAAACATACTTTAAGTAAGAAAGATTTTCTCTGAATGGAACCAATTGCATGGTAGCAATTATTTCTTCCAAGCACTGAGGTTGTCTTTTCTTTTGGAAATATGGTTTTCATCCTAAAACCCTGCTGAAAGGTATAGGAATGTGGAAAACATGGCTGGAATTCAGCTGGCCTAGAACTGTCTACATAGACCAGGCTGGCCTGGATCTCACAGAGATCTACTTGCCTCTGCTTTTTGAGTTCTGGGATTAATGACTGGTGGGTTTGGGATCCGGAAATGGTTTCTGTCCTTTCTACCTACATCTTAGTTTCCCTTGCTCATCCGACCAAGGTTTAGAATTAAGAGTTCATCATCAGCATCTCAAAATCTTAAAAGATCCAGATGTTGCATCAATGTACACACATTTAAACAGTCTGAAAATTTGTCAAGGGTGTAAAAGGAGGTTTTCATAACAGAACAGAGCCAAACAAAAAATAAAAACCATGTCCTACTATTATTTCATAAAGAACTATAGAAGTATAGTAGCAAGATGAGTCTTATAGAAGATAAGCTATGCAAATCTATGTGTAAAGTAAGAAAATTTCATCTGAAGGTTGTTCATGACTCATTAATACACATGTATTTTCTCCTGGATAGGCTGTCCATAGGTACAGTAATGTGTCACATTTAATTAGGCTGAGCTGAGGTCTGCTGTTCTTAGTGAGAACTAAAGAGAGATCAAAAGCAGAGAATAAATGCACATGTCCTTGCTTACATGCTTGTTTGGTATTTTTGTACCCTTATATAAGTTAGGGCCCAGCCCATGAACTAGTGCCATCTACACTGGGGGGGGGGTCTTCCTATTTTAATTAACAGTCAAGAAAATCCCTCCCTCAACACATGCCCACATCTGATTTAGTTAATTCCTTAACAAAATTCTCTTCCTAGGTGACTCTAGGTTATGTCAAGTTGACAGTTAAAACTAGCAAGCACAGTAATCGTGGTATTTTTATTTTATTTTATTTTACTTTTTAATTTTATCTTAATTTTATGTGTATGAGTGTTATGTCTGTATACATGTAAGTGCACCTGCATTGTGCAGTGTCCACAGAGGACAAAAGAGGTCATCGAATCCCCTGATATTGGAGTTATGGAGGATGGTTGTTAGTCACCATGTCAGTTGAGGGATTTGAACCCAGGTCCTCTGCAAGAGCAGTCATTGCTTCTAACCACTGAGCCATCTCTCCAGCCCTTAGTGTATGTTTGGATGATGATCTTCAGTAAGCTAATTTTGTATTCTGGAAACACTGGCATTTAGGGATTGCCTTCAGGGAATAAGGAATTATTCAAAGAAATGACTAAATCCCTAGATTTAGAAATTGAAAAAATGTTTAAAAAACCTCAAATGCTGTTAAAATGTGTGAGGGCAACCAGACTAAGATCCACGAGTGAGAAACACTAGTAGCTTCTTCCTTGTGAATAGATTCATTGCACTGTGTATTTTGGTTCATTAACATTGAACTGAGATTCATGGAAGGATAGTTTTATATATCTTAGAAGAGACCAGATTTACATAAACTGAAACAGATATATGAGTGGAGGAAAATGAGGTTATCAACCAATGAAATCTGTTTCAGGAGGAGAAGGTGAGCAATTAAAATGGAGATTAGACGTTACAATTAAATCATCTACAAGTGGATGAAGAAAGTCTCATTAGTTGATAAATTTGCTTTTGAAATGTTATGAACACACTGCTTCCCTAATATAATCCTGGGGCTTGCTGGGCTACTTTGCCATATGCAATGTTTGTAGAGGTAGCTGGGGAAGTGCACTGCTAAGAATTTGAAGTGTTGCGTATTGATGGACAAGTCTTTGATTTGCTTTTCTGTACTTCTGTGTGTATGACTTTGTTCCTTCTGTGTTGGCTCAAGGAGAATTAGAAATTATCAAGAAAACAAAAATCAGCTATTTATTACTAATAAGTTGATTGGATTTCTTTTGTTTTGTTTTCAAATTCTAGACAGACTAATGATGCAGTCATCAGGAATAATTGGAAGTGGAGGGGAGTAACGTCTTCATTGACAAGTCATGGAGCAGCTGTAACTACCTGCCTCAGAGAGCAATGGAGGACAGAGTCTAAGTCTCCAGCCATCGATTGCCTTTCAGAGGACTGCCAGGTCACAGCAGGACTGAGCGTCTGCAAGAGTTCTTCTCACCTTTGAAGAAATCTCTGAACAGGGTCTCCTTGGACATTTCTGTATGTCACCCCACAGTATAGATTGCTGCCTGTGTCCCAAGATTTGTCAGTTCTCAAAAGCACTTGCCTTTTCTTTCTCACCTTTGGTACCTATGTGAGGTCTTGACAGACAAGGTGAACCTTACTCTGTAAGGGCTTTGGAAACTGTAACAGCTCACCTGCCTCTCACAGTTATGTGCTGACCTGTAAGTCAGTACTCTGGAGTAGAAACAGAAATGTTTATGAAGCACATGACAATTTTCAGAGCTCCTTCAAGACTTCAGTATTAAACTTAGCATTTGAATTGTGTTATGTGTACCACCAAGATTAGAGCCCAGCATTTTGAATCCTGAAACACACAATTTAAGGTATTTCGGAAAAATAATGAAAAGTTGCAAACTCAAAATTTCAAAATTAAGAAAAAAATTGGATGTTCCTCAACAAATAAAGAGGAATTATAATGAATTAGAAAATCTGAAACATGGAATTTTTTTATAAAACAAAAACAATCTAGAAAAGCTTATATGTGGCTGTGGCTCTGTGCTGGTGCACCTCATCCCTGCCCCCGGAGGCACTGGCATTGTCTCTGCTACTGTTCCTAAGAAGCTACGTATGATGGCGGGTATTGATGACCGCTACACATCAGCCAGGGGCTGCAATGCCACCCTGGGCAACCTCGCCAAGGCCACCTTTGATGCCATCTCTAAGACCTACAGCTATCTGACCCCTGACCTCTGGAAAGAGATAGTCTTCACCAAGTCTCCCTATCAGGAATTCACTGATCATCTTGTGAAAACCCACACCAGCATCTCTGTGCAGAGAACCCAGGCTCCAGCTGTGGCTACTACCTAGGGTTTTTATATGAGAAAAATAAGTGAATTAGGTCTATTAAAAAAAGGAAGGAAGGAAGAAAGAAAGAAAGAAAGAAAGAAAGAAAGAAAGAAAGAAAGAAAGAAAGAAAGAAAGAATCAGCCATTCAGAACATTAAAAATTTTTTTTGGTTACATAATGTTGATCACTTCTTTATATTGTAGCCATGCATGATATTTCCTATAACTGGAAGCTTGCACATGTGAACTTGCAGAAACAGTGGCATCATGCACAAGACCCATCCCACCTCAATCAGACAAGGCCCCAGAGTGGAGAAGGAAATGGGTGGCAGGGCGGCCCTAGCCTGGGAACTACTGGAGTCTGATTATTATTGGGTGAGGGAGAGTAGACCTTATTCACAATCTCTAATTAGTCTGGCTAGACTCCAGTGGATGAATTTTCACTGAGGGACATCTAGGTATTAATGCTTGACTGGATAGGACTTACCATGTATGGCAGAAAAAATGAGGTTTGGGAGAGGGCAAGGATGGGGGAAGGAGTTGAAATTTGATTAAGATGTATGAAATGTACAAAAGCTCATTTAAAAAATGAAAAGTAAAATAAAATTAATTTCCTGACACTTCAAAAATGTTTATTTTAGTTTTAGGATTATCATTGTTAAGTTCATGAAACTTGAAAAATTATGTTTACATTTAGAAACTGTGGTCACATAGAGAATACTTCTGTGTGGTATTTTACAAACACGCTCTTTCTAAAAATATTTCCATTTTTGGTATTTCTGTTACAACTTTGTACTCCATAAGAACAGAATCTGATAAATTATATTGTGTGAATTTTTATCCCAAAAGGAAACATTCGTTGTGAATTTCTAATTTAATGTCTGTATTTTCAAAATTCCATTTGATCATGTACATATAAGAACCTAACACTTTACCTATGATTTCATAAACTAATCCTTACAATAATTTTCTCTATGCTTACTCTGTTTTTGTACATTTTGGCATTGTTTTTCTTCTAATATTCACATGCCTTGGGTTCCAGACATCACAGCACACATTCATCTTTCAGGACCATCTCTGGCCCTGCATACTGGTATCATATTGGCAAGAAAGTCAGTACAATGGGAGGCGAGAGTATTCCTGGATCCCAGTCCTGCAAGTGGAGAGAAAGCAATAGCCTCATCATATATTAAAGTGACTGCCAACCCCATGAATGTATTCTACGGAAATTAAGCTCACACCAGTTATCTACTGCTGCGTAAAATATTCTCCAACTCAGTGGATTCCCAGGGCAAACTTTCTATTGCTTACAGTTGCTTTGATTGGGTTTGCAGCTTTGTGAGGATGGCTTGTCTCCACTCTATATGGTCAGTTGGGGTGGTTCACTGTCCATCAAAGGACAAAGGTGGTCTTCTTGTCAGTATCTGAGACTTTTCTGTTATTATCATATGGGGACATTTTAGGTATCTTCCATGTGTCTTTTCTTTCTACATGGCAGTCCATTCACTGAGACCTTTCTATTCTGATATCCTCTGTCTGCCAACTAGCCTGTGGTCTCTTTATACGTGAACTGGATCCCAAAATGAATGCAGAAGTTCCATGCCTTCTTCAGATAGAGGTTTAAGACTTCATTTCTGCAATATTCTGTAGGAAGACTGTCACAAAGCTAATCCAGATCAAAAGATGGAGAAATAATCTCTACCTCTTAATGGGAGGAATGACAGCATCACACTTCAAAGAAACATGGACAAAAGGAAGAATGGCTTATGTTGTTCATGTTTAACCATCCAGCAAGTATCCTACTCACCTTACTCTTAGCTGGATCCAGAAATATCTACAACTCCTACCATGCACCTGACCTTAAAAGTGTGGTAACCCTGAAAACAGCAGCCTCAGTCTGTGACAGATAATACACCTTTTGTTAAAATTATATTTTTAAATTGCTACATATATTTTAGGGTCAGAGAAGAACTTTAGAAAGGTCTTATGGAAGTGAGGGTCCTTGAGGTTTAAGTCTGCTGATTACCTGCTCCTAGGCATGGAAAGCCACCCTCTTAGTCACTCAAGGATTGAATGATCCTCTTTTCTCTTTCTGTCTTACCTATTCCATATCTAATCAGTTTGCAAGAACTATTGACTGAATCTTTAAAAACGTATCCTAAATGCATCAACTTGTGATGACCCTTAGCCTAAGATATCAGCATCTCTTCCTAGTACTATTACAATAGAGTCTTTATGACTTCTCTAATTTGAGTCTTACCTCTTACTGTTTACACAATAATCAGAAGAAAGGAATACTTTGAAAGGTAAAATATAGCCAGGTATGGTAGTACACGCTTTCAATCCTAGTACTTGGAAGGTAGAGTCAGGCTGATGTCTGTGTCTTTGGGGCTAGCCTGATTTATGTAGCGAGCTCCAGACCAGCAAAGACTACATAGTGAGACCCTGTTTCAAAAGAAAAAAAAAAAGAAGAAAAAAGAAAGAAAAGTAAATTCAATAGTACAACTTTTGCTTCTGTTAGCCTCAACTAATACCAAGTAAAACAAAATGTATTTCAAAGCTATACTGCTCTGTCATTGACTGATTCTAGAATGTGATTTTTCTATCATATTTTCTCTCTCACTCTGCTTCAATTTTATTTTCTTAATGATTACAGGAGCACAAAATCCTTAAGCACAGAGAATTTTATTTTATCAGCTTATCCACTGTTCCTTGTTTACCATAAAAGAGGGACACAACAAGAATTTGTTCATAAGTAATCATTATGTGAATAATCCCAACAACAAAATCAACTCCCTCTAGAAGCAGATTGAAATGGATCATTCTGATGGGAAATTGGAAGAAAAGAATGTTGAGAGAAAAATGGACAATGTAAGGTGGGCTAATGAGATTTCAGAAAAGGAACAAAGGCATTTATCAAGAACTGGACTATGGTGCATTCACATGACGTTTTGGCCAAGGATCTCTTGATATTCTGTGTCCTAAATAACTGAGTGAAACTGAAGTTAAAAATAATGGATAAACTATTTGATGGAAGAAATTTCAAGACAGGAGAGCATTCAGGCTGTGGCAGGGCTACTTTCAACTGCACTTATCCAGGTGTACAGTAAAAAAGAGCATCAACCTTGGGCAGAAAGATATAAAATGTGAAGTTTGCCAAAGAAGAAGAGAGCTTAAGCAAGTTAAATTTTTAAGGTAAAATGGACACAGAAAAGAGGCTGTAATGTTTTTCTCTGTTTTTGAGAGTTTTATACATGTATACAATGAAATATGATAATTTCTACATCCCATTTCCCCCTCCAACATTCATCATACCCTCCCAAATATACTTCAACCCAGTTTTATGTATTTCTTAAATAGTACACTAAATCCTATTAGTGTTGCCTATATGAGCATGGGTGTGGAGCAGTGGAAATTTACCAGTGGCCACAACCTCAAATAAAGAATATCTCTCTTTCTCTGGCAGCTATGAACTGTCAATAGCTCCTCATGAAAGCATGAAGCCTGGAGCTCATCTACGCAATCTGGGCTTAGAGTTTGGCTGGCTTGATCTTTTTCAGGTCTTTTGCAGGTAATCCTAGTTGCTGTGAGTTCATTAGTGCAATAACCATACCATGTCCAGAAGATGGCATTTCACAGCATTCATCCCCATCACTTGGTTCTTACATTCTTTCTGACTCCTCTTCCGCACTGTTCACTGAGTGGATGGGGCTTAATACAGATGTCCCATTTAGGGCTGAGCAGTGAGTCTCTTACTCTCAGTACTTTGATCAGGTTAGTATCTCTCAGTTGACTGCTGCCCAGTACAAAAAGAAGCTTAATAAACAAAAATTTAAATTTATTTTATATATACGAATGTATTGCCTGCATGTATGGAAGTGCACCCATGTCATGCAATGCCTACAGAGGTCAGAGGAGGGCATTGGATCCCCTGGAACTGGAGTTACAGATGGTTGCTAACTACCATGTGGGTGCTGGGAACCAAACCTAGGTCCTCTGCAAGAGCAATCAGTGTTCTTAATCACTTAGACATCTTACCAGGCCCTGCAAAATGAAGCTTTTCTGACCAAGGTTTAGAGCAGACTAAGTCTATGGGCATAAGAATAAATATTTAGGAAGCATTTTTGAAAGAGGCTATAATCATTAAAAACATACTCCTCTGCACTGGAATAATGGGAAATATAGCATGATCACAAGACCCTACCTGTCAAATGTGAAAATGTAAAATTATTTGAAAGGGAAGAACCTAAACTGAAAATACAGCTGAATATCCCTGGCTCCTTGGAAGCAATCTAGGAAAGTGTTTCCCCAGTGTCAGCACACAAAAGCTGATATAGCTATGATCCAAAGAGACCAGGATATATCTGGAGCTTGCAGAAAACTTGGCAGTGTTGCCTACATGGTACTGCTTTTGCAGGTAAGATAAATGAAAGATTGAGTGTCATAAAATCTTGCTCCATGGTTCCAGAGAACTGCTGCAGACAGACAATGTGTTTCAAGATCAGAGTTCCTAAAGAGACACTGTGACATGCATAAAGCTGTGAAGGTAAAGTCTTAGTTGCAATGGGGACTCCAGGATGATGGATATGTGAAGACCACAAGACAAGAAAGTTGCAGGCACCCAATGTGGACAGCACAAGAGAGAGTCTAGGTATGCTGCGGGTTGCAAAACTGGAGGAGAGGCTTCCTATGTCCTTCGGAGCCCAGATGATTCCATCAGGATTCCCGGATGCTGGATATGAAGCTGCAGGATTTGGTGTTTGCTCTGCTATTTTTCAGTCTTGCTTTAGTCTGGTCTTTCTTTGTTATGCCTCCATTTTTCTCTTTTAGAACGGGAAGGCTCACATTGTACTATTCTATATTAAAAGTATGTAACTCTTTTTCCTGATGTTATAGGGGCTCACAGTCAAGTGTTTGCCTTCAGTCTCAGATGAGACTTCGACTTAAGTATTTTAAATATTTTATTTCTCATTTCATTTTATGTGTATGAGTGTATTGCCTACACACATGTAAGTGCACCCAT